ATAACCCGAATTTAAATCTAACTAAAATCTTACCCAAATATTCCACTAAAGCTCACACATTCATAATTACTGCTAACTATTGACAAACGTATTTATGTAAGCTTTAATGACACTTTTTCCCCATTGATCAGAGATATGGTAGTAATCACACCTTCAACACACGTACACGCGTACATATGTATGTATATGATTTCCCTATTTTCAGACATTGACATACGTTAAATACACAAACTGATCCATTATATGTTTACATACGGTAGACAAAATCAATCACGCTATGGTCTGACATGTGTCAAAATATCAAATATTTAAGGGGGTGTTGTCGTAGACGTCATACATATGTATGTGTGTATGTATGAAAATATGTAACGTGCGTGTATATATATGTAATGAATGATTTATATTTTATTTATTTGGATGTAAAATGACCAACAGCTAACCACGCATACATTATCACTATGGGGAGGGGCATGGGGGTATTATTAATTTAGGAAAATGTACATGAAGTCTTTTATGAATGAATTTTGTTCATATTTAATATCTCTAAACATGGGAGACTTTGTGGTGGTCTTTATACCCTATACCACATAGTGGTAAGGGTATTATATCTTTGTGCATTTGTTTGTAACATGGAGAAGGAAACGAGATAGACCCATAGTTACTTTTGAGAACCTTCATAGAATCACTTTCTGAGTCGATTTATGCATGTCAGTCCGTCTGTCCGTCCGTCCGTCTGTCCATGTATTCTTGTGAACAAAATGCAGGTCGCATTTATTATCCGATTGAGATGAAATTTTCCAAACAATATTTTTTTGGCCCAAGGACGAACCCTATTGAAGTTGGTGAGAATCGGATCAAATTTAGATATAGCTCCCATATATATCTTCATCCGATTTCGGGTTAAATGTGCACCAAATATCCACTATCAGTCCAAATTACCTGAATTTTGGCACACCCAACCGAGTTCGGCCTAAAAGCAAGTATATCAAATTTGGAGAAAATCGGTTCAGATATAGCTATAGCTCCCATATATATCTTTCATCCGATTTGATCTTTAAGTCCCTCACATTCCTACTATGCACTCCACAACCGTGATATTTGGTACCAGGTATTAGATGGAGCACAGAAATAGCTGTTTTAAATTTTATCGAAATCGGTTCAGATTTATATATATATAGATATAGCTCCCATATATATCTTCATTCGATTTCGGGTTAATTGACCACCAAATGGCCAATATCAGCCCATATGGCCCGAATTTTGGCACATGTGACCGAGATTAGCCTTTAAGCAAATACAACAAATTTGGAGAAAATCGGTTCAGAAACAGCTATAGCTCCCATATATATATTCATCCGATTTCGGGTTAAATGTGCACCAAATGTCCACTATCAGTCCAAATTACCTGAATTTTGGCACACCCGACCGAGTTCGGCCTAGAAGCAAGTATATCAAATTTGGAGAAAATCGGTTCAGATATAGCTATAGCTCCCATATATATCTTTCATCCGATTTGGTGTTTAAGACTCTCACATTCGTAATATGCACTCCACAAGAATGATATTTGGTACCAGATATAAGATACAGCCCAGAAATAGATGTTTGTAATATTATCGAAATAGGTTCAGATTTGGATATAGCTCCCATATATATCTTCAGCCGATTTCGGGTTAATTGTGCACCAAATGGCCGATATAAGTCCAAATGGACTGAATTTTAGTACATCGGACCAAATTCAGCCTAGAAGCAAGTATATCAAATTTAGTGAAAATCGGTTCAGATATAAATATAGCAACCATATATATGTTTCATCCGATTTAGAGTTTTAGTCCCATACATTCGTAATATTCACTCCACAACCGTGATATTTGGTACCAGGTATTAGATGGAGCACAGGAATAGCTGTTTTAAATTTTATCGAAATCGGTTCAGATTTGGATATAGCTCTCATATATATCTTCATCCGATTTCGGGTTAAATGTGCACTAAATGGTCAATATCAGCCCAAATCACCAGTCTAGAAGATAATACGTAAAATTTGGAGAAACCCGGTTCAGAGATAGCTATAGTTCGTAAAATGCACGATAGAATTAGATAGATTTTGATTTTGTACCAAATATCTCATAGAGCTCTGAAATGCCCTGTATAAACCTTTTTACGAGAGCTCTACTAAATATGCATAGTGGTGTAGGGTATCATATAGTCGGCCCCGCCCGACTTTTGAGCTTTCCTTACTGGTTTTTCTGATGATATTCTACACGTAGAATACCTCCAGAGGGCCTTGTAAACGTAAACGAACTCCCACATATTTTGGACGCCCTAATGTTGAAGGCTTCCTAGCAGTCTTCGGTGCACATAAAGGCCATAATCTTCAACATACTTGTTTTCAATTAAGGGATTTCTAGAATTTTCTTAAATTATCGAAATATTTTCCAATAAAAACGAAAAAAAAAATCCTCCTCTTTAATTACAGTTCATTCATTTAATTTTTTTTCCTCTTTTTTTAACATAAAATAAATGTTATTATATTTCACAGTATGATTCATTATCGGGTTTTATTTTCTCAATTATATTTTAATCAAACGCTGCCTGAAAACAAACAACAACACCACTTTGAAAACAAACACGTGTTATCCTTCGATAACCTCATACAACGCTGCAGGATCTTATGGCAATTTGTTTTCAATCGAATCTCCAGCAAATGCTGAAAGGATAATTGTTGATAATGGATTATTTTTTTCGCATTTCTTTGAAATATTATAAAAGGCTTCGAAAGCTCCTTTTCAAGGATTCGCTCAAAATTTAATTGTTGTGTAATTTTTCTTTTAACTCTTCTTTTTTTTTTTTTTTTTGTTTTTTCCGTCACAATGCCTCTTTGACAAATTGTTTAAATTCCACACAATAAATATTAATATTTCTTTGCAAATCTCCTTTCATTAAAAGTGACAGCCTTGTTATGGAGGGGTAGGAGAAGGAGGCGAAAAGCGGTTTAAGGCCTTCAAGTCGAACAAGTTTCTCACTACAATAATGAGGAAATTTTATTATAAAGACGTTTAAAAAAGCGACCTCCACGTCGTCTATAGAGACGATCTTCCACGTTGTCTAAAAATACGACCTCCAAGTGAACTAAAAAGACAACCTCCACGTCGTCTAAAAAGGCGACCACCACTTCGTCTTAAAAGACGATCCCCACGTCGTCTATAGATACGACCTTCCACGTCGTCTATAAAGACGACCTTCCACGTCGTCTATAAAGACGACCTTCCACGTCGTCTATAAAGACCACGTCGTTCATAGAGACGATCCCTATATCGTCTATAAATATGACTTCCATATCGTCTATAAAGACGACCTCCATCCATATCGTCTATAGAGACGACCTGCCTGCTCGTCTAAAAAGACGACCTCCAGATCGTCTATAAAGAAGACCTTCCACGTCGTCTATAGAGACGACCTTCCACGTCGTCTATAGAGACGACCTTCCACGTCGTCTATAGAGAGGACCTTCCACGTCGTCTTTAGAGAGGACCTTCCACGTCGTCTTTAGAGACGACCTTCCACGTCGTCTATAAAGACGACCTTCCACGTCGTCTATAGAGACGACCTTCCACGTCGTCTATAGAGAGGACCTTCCACGTCGTCTATAGAGACGACCTTCCACGTCGTCTATAGAGACGACCTTCCACGTCGTCTATAGAGACGACCTTCCACGTCGTCTATAGAGACGACCTTCCACGTCGTCTATAGAGACGACCTTCCACGTCGTCTATAGAGACGACCTTCCACGTCGTCTATAGAGACGACCTTCCACGTCGTCTATAGAGACGACCGTCCACGTCGTCTATAGAGACGACCTTCCACGTCGTCTATAGAGACGACCTTCCACGTCGTCTATAGAGACGACCTTCCACGTCGTACATAAAGACGACCTTCCACGTCGTCCATAAAGACGACCTTCCACGTCGTCTATAAAGACGACTTTCCACGTCGTCTATAAAGACGACCTTCCACGTCGTCTATAAAGACGACCTTCCACGTCGTCTATAAAGACGACCTTCCACGTCGTCTATAAAGACGACCTTCCACGTCGTCTATAAAGAAGACCTTCCACGTCGTCTATAAAGACGACCTTCCACGTCGTCTATAAAGACGACCTTCCACGTCGTCTATAAAGACGACCTTCCACGTCGTCTATAAAGACGACCTTCCACGTCGTCTATAAAGACGACCTTCCAGGTCGTCTATAAAGACGACCTTCCACGTCGTCTATAAAGACGACCTTCCAGGTCGTCTATAAAGACGACCTTCCACGTCGTCTATAAAGACGACCTTCCACGTCGTCTATAAAGACGACCTTCCACGTCGTCTATAAAGACGACCTTCCACGTCGTCTATAAAGACGACCTTCCACGTCGTCTATAAAGATGACCTTCCACGTCGTCTATAGAGACTCCCTTCTGGCTCGTCTATAGAGACTACCTTCTGGCTCGTCTATAGAGACTCCCTTCTGGCTCGTCTATAGAGATTCCCTTCTGGCTCGTCTATAGAGACTCCCTTCTGGCTTGTCTATAGAGCCTCCCTTTCCGCTTGTCTATAGACACTCCCTTTCCGCTCGTCTATAGCGACTCCCTTTCCGCTTGTCTATAGACACTCCCTTTCCGCTCGTCTATAGAGACTCCCTTTCCGCTCGTCTTAGAGACTCCTTTTCCGCTCGTCTATAGAGACTTCCTTTCCGCTCGTCTATAGAGACTCCCTTTCCGCTCGTCTATAGAGTCTTCCTTCTGTTTGTCTGTAGAGACTAACTTCAGCTCGTCTATGAAGACTCTCTTAAGCTCGTTTATAAGTACTCCTTTAAGCTGGTTTACCACAGCTCCCTAAGGCTCACATCTTTTCGTGTAGGGTATATAACAATACCACCAACAACAACAAATACCAACAACGCTTACAATAAATTGTGTTAATGTTTTGTTTTCCTCCTCTTTTGTTAACTCTCTTTACAGGCAGCCATTTAAAAAGGTCTTTCAGCCGTGATTTGGTTTCTGTTTTCAAACAAAACATTTCAAAGGACCCGACCAGCCAACCATCCAACCGACAAAAAAAAAAACAGTAACTCAACAAATCTTAACTTGTCTCGCCGCAAAATTGAGTAACATAGTGTCCCCAGACATTCATCATCTGGTTGAAAGCACTGGAGGAGAAAAAACGGAATAAACCAAAACATTTACACAAATTTGTCGGTAAGTATTAAACAACCGGAATAGATTTATTGTTCTTGGGAAAATTTGTTTGGCTTTTGTTTTCCATGCCATGGGAATATTTTAATATCACCCAAGCTGTGGAAAGACGATGTAAAAGGTTTACCCATTTGGTTGGGGGGAAAAGGAGTCAGATAGGCGGGAACGCCGTAAAACCATCAACAATAATCTAGAAATTACAAAACATTTTCTACGCCACAAATGTGGCTTTGTAGCTACGCAAGCTGCTGCTGTTAAATCCCTGGAACCTATTGTGGACTTGCCAGAAATTTTTGGCAGCCGTTGGATTTGATGTGAAAAATGTTCGGGAAAATGAATTAATTAAAATTCAATGTAAGAATTGAAACATGTTTTAATTTTGGGCTTTTTTTGACTATTGAGGGGTTATTTCTACAGTCGGCCAGAGGAAATATATACAGGACCAAAAGAGAGTGTGCATAGGTAACCTGAAGCAGCCTTAATTTATGATTGGAAAGGAATCACTTTAAACGATAATGTGGGAAATTTTATAGAAGATTAAAAATAGTCTAATTCCAGGACTTTTCAACACTATATTTTTATGCCATCCACCATAGTATGGAGGGTATATTAAGTTTCTCATTCCGTTTGTAACACCTCGAAATACTCATTTTAAACCCCACAAAGTATGTATATTCTTGATCAGCATAAAATTCTATGTCGATTTAGCCATGTCCGTCCGTCTGTCCGTCTGTGGAAATCACTCTAGCTTCCGAACGAATTGAAGTAGATTGATAAAATTATACTCAAATGTTTGTTATGTCTGCAGGACTTTTGGTATTGAAAATGGGCCATGCAGGTCCACGTTTTGGTATAGCCCCCATATAACGGTACCTACCAATATTCGGTATTTTAATGATTTTAGCGACATTATACACCGGAATAGTTTCAAATTTGGTATTTGAAGTTCATAATGGATATTACAGCCTAACACAGAAAATTGTCTGTACAGGCCCACGTCTTCGTATAGCCCCCATATAACGGTACCTCCCGATATTTGTTATTTTGATGATTTTAGTGAATTTATTCACCGGAATTATTTCACATTTGGTATTTGAAGTCCATAATGGATACTACAGCCTAAGACAGACAATTGTCTGTGCAGGTCCACCTCTTCGTTAAGCCCCCATGTAACGGTACCTCCCGATATTCGGTACTTTGATGATTTTAGCCAATTTATTCACCGGAATTGTTTCAAATTTGGTATTTTAAGTTCATAACGGATACTACAGCCTAATACAGAAAATTGTCTGCGCAGGTCCACGTCTTCGTAGAGCCCCCATATAACGTGCCTCCCGATATTCGGTATTTTGATTATTTTGGCGACATTATTCACCGGAATTGTTTCAAATTTGGTATTTAAAGTTCGTAATGTATGCTACAGCCTATGACAGAAAATTGTCTGTGCAGGTCCACGTCTTCGTATAGGCCCCATATAGCGGTACCTCCCGATATTCGGAATTTTGATGATTTTAGCGACATTATTCACCGGAATTGTTTTAAATTTGATATTTAAAGTTCGTAATGGATACTACAGCCTATGACCGAAAATTGTCTTTGCAGGTCCACGTCTTCGTATATGCCCCATATATCAGTACCTCTCTATATTCGGTATTTAACGAGTTTAGGTACAATACCCACCGATATTGTTTGATATGTCGTATTTAAACATCGTAATGGATGCTACAGCCTCTGACAGAAAATTGTCTGGCTGGTCCAGGTCTTCACACAGCTTCGATATAACGGTACCTCCCTATATACCCCAATAAAACGGCTATATTCGGTATTTTTAAAATTTAAACTGAATTTTTTAAGGATTTTATTTTTTGAAAATTCCAAATTCATTCCAAATGGGGGAGGGTATTCAAAGTTCGGAAAAACTCTTTTTCTTACCATCTTTAATGACTTCTTCATCTCCTGCTTGTATTAGCTCCATTTTTTAGAACTCCCAGTGGTGGCACTTAAAATTTATGCAATGCAATCTGTGACTCATATTTAAACCAAATTGGTTTAAAACAAAAAAAAAAAACAACACTTTATCATCTTGTTCGGGAGACAATAAATTTGAAATTCATTTAATTAATGGTACTCTCAGATGCAAACAATGGCTCCAACAGTTAAATTTTATTCTCTTCCTTTTTTTGTGGCATAGCTTGGCATAACAAAAGATGAAAAATTGTGAATAGTTTCAGTGCTAGCAAAAAAAAAAAAACCATTATACTTTGTTAATTATCATAAGTGTTTTATGAGTCTCTGGGTGCATGTGAAATCTGAATAGTTTTGCTGATAAGGAGACAGCAGAGGAAGTAAAGGAGGAGATGCAGTAAGATAATAAAATTTAAAAATTTTCAAGGGAATTGCTGTCATAGAATCTAGACGATAATGAATGCAAAAAGGAGTTAGTGCTGAAGATATTTACCACTTGTGCCCTTGGATGGATTTTTGTATCCGGGGTGTGGGATAATAGCGTGTAGTTGTAGGAGAACACTTGGGGCTATAAGGACAATTGGCATCTGGCATCAAATATCAATTTGAACATGACCTAATTAAAAATTTACTACTGAGAATAGACCTAATTTAAAGCTTAGGTTATTAAAAGAGGAGCTTAGTTCCCTCTTATTAGATAATTCATATTCGGAGTCTTAAGTCACATTGTGTTCCTGTGAATGAAAGGTGTCAAGTAGATCAATAAAAAAAGATTATAAGCAGAAAAAGATTGGGCAAAGGCTACAGATTTAGCTGGAACAATTGAATTAGTGAAGTAATGAACATCTATATTCCAATTAATCCAAGTTTTCTTATGGGCAGCGCTGGCTAATGGCGCAGAATACGTTAGATTGTTTCTTTTAATATTTCATCCTCACACAGCCTTTGATACTCAACATCGTCAAATACTCATTTGGATGTCAAGACCAGTAAAGCAATGGACTTTTTATCGCAAAGGTTTCTGGCTATACAAACTTAAGGATGGTTGGAAGGAAGTGCCCGGACATAATTTGCATTGCATTGATAATATCATTTTTTTTCATAACTTTCATAGCAATGAGACGGACAATAACAGACGGATATTGCTAAATCGTCTTAGAATTTTACGCTGATCAAGAATATATATACTTTGTTGGGTCTGACATAAGTATTTCGAGGAGTTACAAACGGAATGACAAAATGAATATACCCTCCATAGTAAGGAGGGTATAAAAACAGTGTTATTCAAGGTGTTTTTAATATGGTGTAATTGACAATCATAGTATGGTTAAAAACTTTTATACCCTACACCATACTATGGAGGGTATATTCATTTTGTCATTCCGTTTGTAACTCCTCGAAATACTTATGTCAGACCCAACAAAGTATATATATTCTTGATCAGCGTAAAATTCTAAGATGATTTAGCCATGTCCGTCTGTCTGTCTGTCCGTCCGTCTGTTTGTTGTATTCACGCTATCTTTCGAACGAATTGAGATAGAAGGCTAAAATTTGGCACATATGTTTATTTTGCCGGTAGGCAGGTTAAGTCCGTAAATGGGCTATGTAGGTCTACATATAACGGTACCTCCCTATATTCGGTATTTTGATGATTTTAGCGACATTATTTACCGAAATTGTTTCAAATTCGGCAGGTCCAGGTCTTCTTATAGCCCCCCATATAACGGTACCTCCCTATATTCGGTATTTTGATGATTTTAGTGACATTATTCACCGTAGTAGTTTCAAATTACGCATTTAGAGTTCGTAATGGTAACTTCAGTCTGTGACAAAAAAAATTCTATGCAGGTCCAGGTCTTCGTATAGGCCCCATATATCAGTACCTCCCTATATTCGGTATTTTGACGATTTTAGATACAATACTCACTGAAATTGTTAGAGCTGTCGTATTTGAAATTATAATAGAAGCTACAGCCTGTGACAGAAAATTATCTATGCAGGTTCACGTCTTCGTATAGCTCCGATAAAGCGGTACCTCCTTATACTGTATTTCGATGATTTTTCCTACATTATTCACCGTTTATTTCAAGTTTCGAATTTGAATATGGTAATGGCCTATGACAAACAATGCCTATGTAGGTTCACGTCGTACAGACCGGCTATATTCGGTATTTTTAAGATGTTAACAGAATTTTTTGGCGAATGGCCCGGCAGAACTTACTGCTTTTTTACTTGTTTTCATATATGTTTGTGAATACACCTGTCAACTCAAATTTCTTTCAACTTTCATTTAAACTTTGTAACATTATTATTTTGATTGGAATTGGAAAGGCATTTTGCAATTGATATGAAGGATGTTACTGCTGTTATTTTTGCGTTAAATATCGAGACGGAGGGTCCACCATAGTTGCGTGAAACCAATCCTGTTTTTATACCCTCCAACTTAGGTTTACCATACAGCCTGTAACTACTCGAAATAATCATTTTAAATCCCGTAATATATTCTTGATTAATTTTGAATTATAAGACGCCCACCCTCCTGTCTGTGGACATGCATCCAAAAGGAGTAAAACAATACTATAGTGAGTTTGTGTTCATTTTGGAAAAACACATACTTGCAAATGGTACCTTCTGATATTCTAGTTTGGGGTTCGAATAAGATCCAATTTCTCTCCCTCGTCCCTCCGCCGATACATCACGATGTTGCTGATTACCTTCAGCATATGACCATTTGTTTATACCCCTTATGAGATTATTACAAGAAAGAGTGGACATACATTTGAACACCATCATGCGTGACTTAATGTTACTAGAAAATATTGGATGTGGGATTTAGAAAATCGGACATTGATTTCGCACTTTCCGACAGTTATCATACCAAACGTACTTTTTTGAGGAAAGTATATAAACAAGTGGTCCAATATTGCCTATTTCCACCGGGGAAGTATGCAGGTTTGTCTGTATTGCTATCTAGAATGCCTACAAAAATGTCGTTTAACTTGATAGGATTGCAGTTTCCTGTATGGTTGACATTTGCA